TGCCTATTAGAGGATTGTTAAGATATAAAATATCCCAGTACATCATCTCTATGTGGACCATAAAATGGCCCAGGACAGCATCAAAATAAAATATCTATATGAGACTCTACAGGAGTTTGACATACCCAAAAAAAAAACTGACAAGATTACAGATGATACATGTAACAGTAGACAACTCTAAATGCAAAATCAAAGTTCAGGGAGAAAATACGAGGGAATTTCAGTATAGACGAGGCCTAAGACAGGGAGAATCACTGTCTTATATGCGATTGAACCTAACATTAGATAGATATAAGAAGCATAGTCCGAGTGGACTAAACTGAGCAAATCTGAAGTTGGTGGTCTGGGGTTCAAACCAGCCAGAGCCCAGTCAAGCAAAAGCGCCACCAGCACCCCGGGTGGATGGGGCCCGTTAACTCATCTAAGAGAAGGAAACTCTGAAATCAAACCCGGAGATGGAGTCCCGAATGGCCGATAACATTGATATAATGAAACATTCCGACAACTCCTGCGACGTCACTGGTGCCAAGCTGTATCATCCAATGATGTTCCCTTGGGTTATCCGTGGAGAGAGGCGATTTTCTGTTGGGAACCAGCTTATAATCCTTAAAGTATAAGCCCAGGCCATGTGGATTTCGTCCTTCGAAGCCCACTGCATCGTCACATTGTGACGGACGGATGCCAGCAGCACATATTGAGATACGAGAACAATCACAGGGAACTTTCTGACGGAAACCCACGATCAACAACCAATGGGCACTCACTACATCCAACCCCTTCAGTATCTTGCATATGCTGATGACATAGCCCTGTTACAGAAAGTAGTTAAGACAAATCAAAACCTTTTATTGAATTAGAAGACGCATCACTAAAAGCAGGTTTGGAAATTAACAACCAAAAAAAAAAAAAAAATACAGGACTATGACAAAAGAAGAACAGACAGATGAAGCCATCTAACATTAGAAACCACACTTTTGAAAAAAATGTAAGTCAATTCAATACCAATATATATAGGGTCTGATAAATAAAAGAAATGAATTACTGCCATAAATAAAAATAAACATCAAGAATATAGGCCGGAAACAGGACGTACTTCAGTAGTCAGAAAATTCTCAAAAGTAAAAACATAACATTAAAAATTAAAAACTATTTATAAACTGTAATCAGACCAGTTGTAACATGTGCAAGTGAAACTTGAACCCTAACTAAAATGGCAGAAAACCTATATTAGACGCATGCGAGAGAAAAGATCTAAATATACGGACCCCACAAAAGATGAAAATAGATGCAAATATGAATCAACCAGGAATGATATGACCGTATCAGGATCCCAAGCATGTAGCAGAATATTTTTTTTTTAAAGGCAAAGCTACGCTGGGCGGGGCACTTAGATGATTGAAGAGGGTGCACCACCAAACATCCATAGGAAAATGGCTCAAAAACAGATCTATATAGGCTCAGACGGTTGGATTACGTGGATGGATTACGTGGATGGATTACGTGGATGGATTACGTGGATGGATTACGTGGATGGATTACGTGGATGGATTACGTGGGAAAAGATGTACAGTAGCTGGGAATCCAAGCATGGAAAAGAAAAGAATCGGTTAGGTCTGAGTGGGCTGTAGCGCATCAGGGATGGATTCTACACTTTGTCAGTGAGCAACGGAAAAGATGCTATGGAAATATAAGGTTTCCATTAACTGTGTGTTTTTATTTTTTAGTTTGTTAATAACTAGTAATGTTCTTTGATTGAATTTATTTCAACTCTTTATTATTTTTTTTTTAAATACTTAAATAATAAATTTTAATTGATCCATTACGTCATCAAAAGAAAAAAAATCTCTCAAGCTCCGCCCTTTTATGACTAGTTCTTTTACTTCCGTCGCCTCAGTTTGTTTTGACCTCGCTTCTGCGTGTGTGTGTGGTGTGGGGGGGGGGGGGGGGGTTATACGGGCAGCATGGCAATCGTGAGGCCCCAAGGTAAGTGGAAAAGGGGTTGGGGGGGGGGCGGACCATTCAACGTCGCCAATTCGCCGCCCCTATTTCGCTTCCGCCGTTTCGCAGCAAGTACAATTGGCCGTTTCGCAAGCAAAAATATAGAAATTGTTTATAGCAACAGTGATTATATAATTTTAAGGGGTTTATTAAAATGGTCGACTTCCCGAGACTGCCGTCGTCTTTTATTTTGATAATTATGCTACGCACTGCGCGTGCCATGGATGTTAGGAGCATTGACGTTGGGGAAACATCGGGAAAACAATCCTGACCCATAAAGCACACGTCAGTATCACGTAGATAGGGTGGACCCTGTAAATCGGTGCGTCTCTGAGTAAGCGACAGTATGGTCCAGTCGTAATCATCTGATAATCATCGATACTTGGTCAAGATGCTGCGAATTTGTACCGGTTTCACGAGGCCTACCCTGTTTGTTGGTTTTTGTGTGTGTGTATTGTTGTTTTTTTACCAGAGTCTGTTGACACAAGTGCCGTTACTTCATCATGAAATGGTGCATGGTGTTCTTGAGTTCAGGTTAGACATTCACCATCTACAGCGGGACCCGGGCATAACGCGATTATTGGAAACCATGAATTAGAATGATGCCGGCTTCGTGCTAACGCAGGGGCTCAAGATAATTTGTGCGAATTGCGTTGGGGACTTTTGAAGTAGTAAGACAGTGATTTGATGTATTTAAAAAATATATATTTTTAAAAACAGTGATTTGAGTTTGGGTTCGGGGAAGGGGGGTTTACAGATGTAAAATCTCTTGTGAGCTATGCGGACGTTCAAGCTGGACACGCTCTAGTGCATTAGTGATTGTGTTATACCAAACTAAATATTTTTTCAGGTTTTTTTTTCTTTGGTTTTTTTTTTTGAAATTTAGAACAAATGAACATATGAAACATTTAGGAAACATGTCACAACCGCGTTACACTCGAATTCATGTTATTGCGGGGCTCAACTGTGGCTAGGTCATTGAATTTTGTTTTTATACTCGAAATAGGGGCTTTATTTTATTTATTTATTTATTTTTTTTTGGACATTTTAAAAAATAGTCTGTTGTTGTTAATTATGTGAGGAAAAAAAAAAGCTCCCCAGTCAAAGTCTCTGGTTGTTTTCTTGTAGGCTTGTGTCCGGGGGCTTCAGTAAACAAGACAGCTGTTTCAAAGTGCTAAAAAAATATAAATTTGAAAAACAACATTTTTAGAGAGACATTTGATCAAATATGGTCGGTTGTTATATAACATCAAAGAATTCCCCCAACCCCAAGCACAGCAGACGTTAAGTAATAAGTTAACACAAAAATTATCCGATTTTAAAATGGCTTTTACTTATAATTTAAAAAATATCAAACCTATAAGTCTAGATATTAAAATATATAAAACGTAAAATATATTTATTAAAGGTGTAAAAGATTTATGAAATCTGCGTGTTTTGACAATAGTTTTTTTTTTTTTTTTTTTTTTACAGTTCATTCTATACGGGTCTGGCGTTCATTAGCTAAAAATTGATGACTAAAAGAAAGAAAAAGGAAACACAACAACGTATGCTTGTGTAAAAAAAAAATCGAAAGTCTATCGTTAAACACTTTCTCCAAAAGTAACTATGGGCATTCCTTAATTTAATCCGTTGGTCTCTTGGCGTGACGAAATTCTGTTCCCGCCCCTTTTCACTGCATGCATTGCATGACGAAATTCTGGCACAGCTGGGTGTACTCGTCTTCGTGAACGAACAGGTGGCGCGCGTGCTCGGTGTCAGGCCAACACCTCCAGGTGACCTTGACCCCTACCGCTTGACGCACGCTCATCGCCTTCTCTATGTCCAGGTGCGAGACGATGTGGTCAGTATTTGAATACAGGAACAACTGAGGCCAGGTACCTGAAACAGACCGCCATTCAGTAAAAAGGAATAGTGTATGTATTGTGTGTGGTGTGTGTGTGTGGGGGGGGGGGATTTTAATCGCATTAAAATAATGAATGACTGCATTGGAGCAGTCTGTTGGAACTTGTTTTTAAAAATTGTATTTTATTGTTTTGTTGTTGTTGTTTTTTTTGTTTTTTTTTATTGTAAGTATGAAAGTAAGACAAGTCTGTGGGTTATTCACATATATGGGTAGATTGTGGTACCTGTACCTTGGTCAGACTTAGTAAAGCATATTTATAATGGCGCAAAAAAAACACAGAATTTGCCCTGTGGGCAGCTTTTGCTTGCCACGCTCTTGGTTGACTGCCCTATTTTATGACCGCTGGTGTTACGTTCTAGGATCTATGACTTGTTTATTGCTCTTCAACAACAAAAATGTATCTCATGAAGCAGTGAAACGTGTGTTAGTCTTTAACCTGTAACCGACTAGTGAACTGTAACCTTTACTTGAAAATACTACGCAGCTTGTGTCCAGGGGCATCTGTGACTCTTCGGATACGTTATGCTTCAATTTTCATTGACTGAAGTTAGACATAAGACTGAAGATTTCCATACATTACAACTGAATACATTAAAATTGAATACATTAAAAAGCACTACATTACAAATTAATACATTACAACTGAATAAATTAAAACTGACTTTACAGTACACAACTTCTAGAACCCATGTCTAGCCTAAAGGCGTAAACCTAAATAGTGTAGGAAGGGGTGGGGGGTCGATCAGCCCCGGGTGGAACTTATTTCTAATTATAGAGGGGTCGTATTGTCGGCCAACTGCAGAGTTTCTTCTTTGGGGGCGACACAAAGCTTGGCCAGCCCCGAACGGCACTAATCTTAGCTACGCCACTGCTAAACATAAAAGCCAAGCATTTTTTGTTGTTTTTTGGGGGGGGGGTTTTGGTTGTTGTTCTTGTTGTTGTTTTGTTGTTTTTGTTTGTTTGTTGTTTTTTTTTCGTTTTTTTTTACAAATGTAGATTCTCCTCGCCATTTGCCCACAGTGTAAATTATTGTAAATATAAACCTACCCGATTGGTAACAAAACTCCTCGAACGCGTCTAATTTCCTCCCGGAACTGAAGAACTCGGGGAAGAAAGTCCTAACTAAACAGATGATGAAAATAAGAATGTCATAGATCCTTGGCAGCTTGTGCTTGATGATGTGAAACAAACCCGTCGGCTGATTCGGGCAACTGTCCAGGATGCAACCTCTGACCTAGAGAAAAGTAGGTTAGATCAAGCGACTATTCATGGCACACTAAAAAAAAATATAGACCATGTATAATTATTGAGGGAAAAAAATTGAGGGGGGGGGGGAGTCGGCGCAAACCTACAAAATTACTACTCTTTGTGAAACCTTTTATCTTTCAAGGTATTAACTGGAATGACAATGGGATATGAAACATAATCGCTTCCCTTCATTTAAACTGTAGAATTTTGAATATAAACTTGTGACTTATTACATAAAGGAAAATATTTAATGAACAAGTTTTAAAATATCTAAACAGTTACAGTTACCTGATAGTTTAAAAGCTAATGTCTCATCTAGTCATAGCGTGCATTTCCTCACACAAACCCCGCCCCTTTCCTCTACCTTTTTTTTTTCAATGAGAACAACAGGTTTGGGTAACCCGAATATAATTCATATCTTAAAAGTCAACGATACGTAACTGTGCTGCATTCACGGACGTGGGTAGAGGGGTGTGCAGGGGTGGTCAAACCCAGGCGGCAGATCTTGTGGGGTGGAGTTTTCTGTCCACTTTATCATATATGATATATCGGTGTGGTTTTTATGTGCATCTTCATCCATTGCTCTTTTTTTTTGGTCATTTAGAGGTGGCAAAGTCAAGGACCAATTCGGGCATCACATACACTAGAGACCCCGCTAAGTTATGCTTAGTTTCATTTATATTATACTAGCCAATATACCCGGCGATGTCCGGGATTGCATTCGGGGAAAAAACAACAAATTTCTACATCCTTTTAGCATACATCGAAATTAAGGCCCTGTAATAAACATATCGCGAGGAAAAAATATTAAATTTTAATTTTTATCCTCTAAAAAAACACATGAAATATGATCCCAGCGGGGTCCTTTCCCTGTTGGTTCCCATTCCCAAGGAAGAGATTAACTCCCGATCCCAATGGGATCATGATCTCGATTAAATCCCGATTAGAATCCCGATCCAGACGACATCCGGTTTTCAAATAGTATCCCATTTCCCGATGGAATCCAGTTCCCGTTTGGTTCCTGATCCCATTGGGATCCCGAGGGGATCTCGTTTCCTTATATATTAATTATATATATATATATAACAATTAAATTTGTTACTTGCATTGAAAAAGTCACTTCCTAGCTCTCTCTCATCTCGTATAGCTTGGCAAATCGCATTATGAACCGGGAGTCCTTCGTGGCCTAAGATGTGCATGATTATAGGGCACCTGTGTAATCTCCTGTTTTCGAGGCACTCCAAAAGAGTGGTCACGATCTCTTTGGTTTCGCCGTTCGCAATTCTGTCTTCTGTGGGCGTGGCCAAAATGACGATCCATCTTCGAAAAAATATTTAGGAAAGCAAGATCACGCGTGGCGAGAAAAATATATAATGATTTGACTTTGGAAAATAGATGGTTTCTGAAAAAAAAATCTTTCTCCTCAATCAGTTTCATAATAATTTTGAAAGAGGTAGAGAGCTAAAGATAAATATACAGGACCGGATTTCCCATTAGGAGGAGCCGTCGCGTGACTTTTGGAGGCCCCCCCTGTCTATGATCCCTTTAAGATGCGCGGCTGCGCGGCCGTGCAGCAATCTCACAGACGCCGCGCAGCAGTTTTGAGTACCGCGCAGATAATTTCCACTTAAGTGTGTGTTTGTGACTGTAGGCTGAAAATTTTGCGCACAAAAAAATTGATGCTGTAAAAATGTGCACACAACTTTATGATTTTGCACACGAACCAACAAACCTTAGAGGGAACATTGCCCCCTGCCACCTCCGGGTTTATGCCCCCTGCTTTCAAAGTTAATAGTTATTATAGAAATTTCCGCGTCATAACTGAAATATCCGAGGCCTCGTGCGGCCTCAGGGGTTGCAGGCCCCACGCGACGGCACTGCTATGTTTCATGACACTTACGTTTCTTCTCCCTCTCTCTCTCTTTCTCTCTCTCTCTCTCTCGCTCTCTCTCTTTCTCTCTCTCTCTCTCCCTCTCTCTCCTTCGCCCTCTAATATTTATAAAATTGATTTTTTTTTAAATTTTGCACTACTTCATACATTTATTTATGAGGCGCCCGAAAAAGTTGTGAAAAATGGCACTTGCCGACCTGTTACGGTCATCTGTGCGGGTATTGGGGGATAGTCTTCAACTAGCAATTACCACGCCTCGGTAAGACATCCTTCAATTACTTTATTTATTTATTTATTTTGTAAGGGCTCCAATAGAAGTACTGCAATGCTGGGGTAGCCCTCTTCAAATTCTGCCCCTTGCGGGTCTCTTGGTCTTGCGACTCTCTCATTTTCTGGGCTTAATCGGCCAACCTCAATCGGCTAGGGTTCCGCCACCTGTACAAAGCTAACAACATACTGAAGAATACATGGTACAACTGAAAACAGTTTCAAGACATAATAGTTGTACACTTTAAGTATATGATAAGATTAAATGTGTTTCAGCGAATGATCTATTTTGAGCCTGCTCTTATTCGTTAAGCGTATTATTTTAAGCGTTATTTTTTTTTATTGAATTAATTTTAAAACATGTTTGTTAGTGAACAACTATTTTATTTTTTTTTGTTTGTTTAATAATTGTGTTCTTACAAGCTAGATAACTCGGATGCTTCAGGAATTACATTACATCACATGAAATACTTGAACATTAGGTTCACTGTTTATTTTAAAATAATCATTACCTCTATGGTATCGTACTTCGCGGCTTAACTGACGAGGCAAAAAAAAGTTCTCATCTGATGTCAGTTTTAGTCTCTGTCTTAACGTATCGAATATGCCATATATGGTTGATTAATTAGAACTAACCAAAGAAGTAATCGTTGGTCCGTCAGCCTTATGTTGCCGATCCGCACGACATGAATATTTACAGTGCAATCAAATAAATAAAATATAACAAATAAATCTGGTAACGAAATCTTGTTCATTTTCGAAACTTGTTCACTCGTCCGCCAAACTTCAAATTTAGGAAACGCCGATATAGAACATATTTGGTTAATTATTATTTACGTTTTTTGTTTTTTTTAAACTGGTGTTAACCCACGAACTTTCAAAACGGTCGTTGACCTTTATGGCCGCTTCTGTGGTGTTGAGGGCTCAATAAAGGGAAAGAATCTAGTATTGCGAATTGACGCATAGGTAGTTAATTTGTGACAAGGTTGTTTCTTTTCAATTAATAAAGACCGAGGATTACCACCAGGTATTCTTTTGGTTTTAGATAATGGTTTTTCAGGAGTCCAAGAAGTCGGGGTAAGTTGTATTTGTACAGACTAGTCTCTTTGGCATTATCAATTACATACGTTTTTCAATCCTGTGAAGGGGCATGTATTTTATTAATCATTCTAGTTGAAAACTCGCTGATTAATAAAATTAAATGCCATGAATTCGAATTCCAGTTGCTTAGAATTCTGAATCATATTTATTAGGTAGGCTTATATATTATATCTTACTGAAATTTCTTTAATTATAGCATACCCTTTCCTCTCATAGATTTGTCGAAAATGTCGTAAATAGTTATGCTCGTAAAATGGCGATGTTTTATTGCAGTCATTGCTTTTTAAATTGATCAGGAGGATAATAGGTTGGGCATTATTAATTCCAATTTTGGCTGAATGCTGATCCAAAAACTTGCGTGTTCTGTATCTTGTGAGAGTTGGTTCTCCGCTTTGATTTTTCGCGTCCATATTTGGTGAACAAGACGTCATACAAAATCGTCTTATAGTCTAAGTCTAAGCATTACAGCGAAACAAATAAATATTTTAAAACTTCAATGACTTAAGGCGTAATTTTCATCAGAAGAAAAGTAGGTTTGTCAGCTTTAAGGGACATTGATTTTTTTTTTTTTTTTTTCATTTTACAAAATCAAAACGACAAAACAATAGAAATCGATTTTTCAATTATGCTATTTAGTTTGATGGACTAATTTAATTCCGTGAATTGTTATTTGGGTTGCTTTTCATTTAGTGGAATTGGATTTAATGATTTGTCGAGAATTGCTATTATTTTTAAAGAAATTATTTTATTAATGATCGTTTATATGACGGCAATTCGTTTCAGCTGCTTTCAGTAGTTAAGGTTATTTGCCGTTGAGCGGAAGTTGTTTCGTTTTATTTTAATGGCGTCTAGCAACATGTCAACAAACCAAAAGTGCAATTTTATTTTCTTCCTATTGAATTCATTAACATTTTACTAATTTAAAATGGGCTCATCAAAGCAACAAACATCTATTTCTCGTGTCATGGGCATCTTACAAGAATGGGACAAAGGTGCGAAACAAGTAAGAAAAAAGATTCTAGAAGATTTCATTGCTCAAAATCAGAATAAAACTGGACCTGAGCTTGAACAGGAGTTCGCACAAGCCGCAAGCCTGTTTCTCACCAGATTGACTGCATGGCTTCGACTCTCGTATCCTTTTATAATTATAAATAAAAATTATGCATTTATCTCATGACATGATTAATAAATCTATCACAAACATCATAATGCTAATAAAAAGTATATTTGCAAAAATCATTTTTTCATTTCATTATATTAGGCTTATTAGGGCAAGGCCTAGGCCTAGTTTGATTAAGTGCACCCCTCAGAACGAATTAAAAATATAATACTATTTGCTAGAAATTGTCCGCCTACCAGCCTAATACTAATAGCTACCAATAATTAGTGACTTAAAGCTATTCATTTTTTTAACGATGGCAATCTATATCAGCTTCTTCATGAGGCTCTTCATCGGTATCATCTCCAGAAATAAAAAAATTAAAAAATAAAGAAAAAGGAAAAAAATGCAAGAGACTAAAAAAATTTATATCTGTTGAATTGCTGTTTTATATTAGACAGGTAATAAGGGAGAGACTGCAATCCACGTTAGCACAATATAAAATGAGTAAAACAAAGTAGGGTTAAACCTGAAAAAAGAAACGCAACAAAACAACGAACGTGTCGGCAGGAAGCATTCGTCAGCAAACAAAAACAACAGTAAAAACAGTATAAAAATAAAAAATAGCACTTAGCTTAGAAGTAGTATCCGTGGGCAGCAAATGAATTGTGACAGAAAGTAAGTGAGTGAGAGATTAAATAGGGAAGAGGGAAAGAAAAGAGGAGAAGTAAGTCCACTGCGATAGGTCGGGACGTGGATGCTACATGGTATGAATATCATGTCTCTTTTCACAGCTTGAACCTAGCTCCACCCCTGCATGTCCCGACCTATCGCAGTGGACTTACTTCTCCTCTTAAAATATGAACCGATGCTTGCTGTCTGCCGGCCATGGTATTGTTTATTTTATATTATTACAAGCAATAATTAGTCAGCAAAAAAAATTAGAAGTAAAAAATTAAGTCATCAATTACCGGTAGCTAATTAAGCTGGTAGCCGGATACTTAATAATGAAAAGTATTCTATTATTAATTTGGGACTGCTTTTCTGAGGAGTGCCTGATTAATTATAAGTATTACTTTTTTATTAATTTATTACTTTTGTAAATATGTATTATTTAATAGATATGTCACCATCCTATATTTTGATAAGATAAATTATAAATGAAATAATTATAATATATTTATCATAAATATGAGTAAACTGTCAAAAAGCCTGTTTAAGTTTAGTTTTATCTTTAACAAAGATATAGTTATATGACAGGAGTATGCTTAAATGAGCTACTACGAGCCATAACAGTTTTTCTGTCTGCATCTAGTGGGTATGAAAAATATGCTGTTGTTACTATTGTTAGAATCACCAATATTTTTTAATTGATTTTGTTTTCCTTATTTTTCTACATTGTTTATAATTTATGTATCTTCAATTTTCCGTTTCTCTTTGTCTGTAGCTGTGTTTCATGACATAGTCATGATTATGATAGTATTAAAGTATTAATGCTGATATTGAAAACCTAGACATAAATAAAATATTAATAAAATATTTAATCACATTAACATTAACACAGTAAAAACAACTAAATGACTTGCTAATGGTACTATATTAATAGAGAGACATGACTACATTTTTTAATCAATGATTAACTTTTTTGTCTTTCTTTATAAGCTGCTTAAAATATTTTATTTTCATTTGTTCTTAGTCACAAATTTATGGCAGAATTTATGGAGGTTGGCGGAACACTAACATTGCTTGAAATAATTGGACTTAAACAAGCCAAAGAAAGTGACAAAGCAGAGGCTCTAAGGTGCCTTCATCAAATTGCAAATGCTGGAAGAAAATACAAGGAACTCATTTGTGAAAGCTATGGTAAGCCTTAATATTTAAATAATAAAGATAACAAAATGATTAAAGCAGATTTTCATTTTTAAACAGATGTGGCAATGTGCCACTATTTGCAACAACTTTTAGGTAACATTTTATATGCAGCAGTATGCAGCAGATAGGAATAAGAGAATCCACTCTCATAGTCATAGTGTGACTGCTATGGGTAACCCCAAGCATGTACACATCCATGGTCATTTAAAGTAACACACAGCTGTGTACTGGCCTTAAATTTTATGTTGGTTATTTACACGCGGGAATAACCATCCCTGCCCCGGGGTTGACCCATGGGCAGCTCGGACGTGGGTACCCTGTGACTGTCTGGGGGGCGGGGGCAAACTGGGACTGGAGGTGTGTACATTTTTTGAGATTGTGGTGTGGAACGGATAGGTCGGGTCGGCAGCATGTGTGCGAGATTTTACTGTCGGCTCTGTCAACGGATTGTACCTTACATTAAAAAGCTATAGTTCTCAGACCTGATCGTTTTATTGTGATTTTTTATAAACTCAAAGTCACGTCACCACTCGGCTACACAAAGATTATTAAAATTACATTTAGACTAGAGACTAACCGAAAGTGATTTTCTGATTTCAGCCGAAACCAAACTAGACCGAAAGTTAAAAATGACTTTCGGCTGAAACCAAAAGTAAACCGAAACTTAACTTTTCAGTTTCGTCCGAAACCGAAATTAAACCGAAAGTTAACTTTTCAGTTTTAGCCGAAGCCGAAATATTTAAATATTTCAAAACTCGTTTTCTTACACGTTCTGCTCACTGTGAATAATAATGGAACAACTTTTGTGACAATTTTTATTCGTCTTAAATGACTCTCATACAATTTATCGAATGAAGAGAACTTTCTCCCCTTCTTTGGCTTTTACCCACAAGACTTAAAGAAACTCTTTTCTTCCGAGAACCCATACATTTTTTGTTGAAACTCGTGTTCTTATTGGTCGACATGAAATTGTTTGTTTATCGGCAATTATCATTGGTCGGCTAATTTTAGTTTTGACCTAGATTGAACAAAAATTAAGCGAATGTTTGTTTAGTTTGATAATACAGTCCCACGACATAATTATTTTATGAAACAGTGATACACACATACGTTTGTAGGCTTATGATTTAACTTAAAGGCTACTTTTGCCTAATTATGCACAATTAAAAAAGTAATAAAGTTTTATTATTTTTTAAAATATTACTTAAGGTTCATTCTTTTCTTTCTTTACATTTATTTCCATACACTTCACACTTGACCTATTTGACGTGATATTTTAATATTTTATTTTGTTGTCATTAAAAACATTTATGAGCACGATAACTATGAATGTCAATGAATTAATTAATTGAGAAAGCCTAAGGATCACAAATTAAAAGGAATAAAAGAATAATGTAAAAAAATAATAAAGGAAATGTTACCTTTCCCTAAGATTTTTTTTCAGAATGCTATGACTATGACTACATTTATGAGCAAGATAATGATAAATCAAAATGTATTTCACAAATAAATTACTTGAATAAGCCTAGTTTTCCCAATTTTTTTTAAAAATCAAAAATTATTATATAAATATTGCCATTCCCCGTAGATTTTTTTCCACAAAACTATTAACCTTTCATTTTGCCTTATTGAAATTTCATTTCTTAAAATATTGGACAAGTCAGTCATCATGCAGCTGTCAACAGTGTTCGCAAATTATATGTTATGTATTACCGATGACAGCTATATGTCACGCCATAATTAATATTGGATGCCAGCCGTCAGAGTGACAATCTGACATCTGGTAGAAGATCGATGGCATTTTTCACTTTCGACCAGACGGCCAAAAGTCTCAATCAATTTCAGCCGAAACCGAAAGTAAACCAAAATTTAACTTTTCAGTTTCGGCATAAAGAAGGCCGAAAGTGATCAAATGGCAACTTTCGGCGCTGAAACCGACGCCGAAGCTCGGTCGGTCTCTAATTTAGTCATTATATTACAATGCAACATTTTAACAGAACAAAAAAATCACTATTATGTTTTACTATGCATTAGGTATTAGGGCTATTGCTGAGTGTTTGGCAAAGGCAAAGGAAGAGGACACTCAAGATGCTTGCAAAAATCTGCTTCTTATGCTTGCACAAGGAAATCCTAAGTTTCAAAATCAGGCTAGTTATTCTAATTCTTTGTTTTGTGTTTTGTAATAATTAAATTTTGTATCCATCTGTTGTTCTATAAACTATTACATTTACACTTTGTTACAAAAGATTCTTTATCAGAAAATATTTCCTTATCTTTATCAACTGTTCCATTTCCATTTTACCCTGTTTCAGGTGTACAAAGGCTTTATTGCACTCCTGCCATGCAGTTCACCCAAAGCTCAGCAAATGGCTTGCAGTGCTTTGCGAATAGTGCAACCTATAATAGGAACAGCTAATCCAACCATCATAGAACCTCTTTTAAATCTGTTGAGAACTCTGCATCTTGAAGTTCAATTTGAAAGTTGGTATTAAGAAAAGAATGTTTACCCTTTTGTGGAACATTAATCAAAACTTATTAAAGTGAAAAAATATGTCCAAAGATTTTACTACCGGTATTGCAAGTTGATGACCATATGTTAATTTTTTTTTAAAACCTGAATTTTTTTTTCAAAGTTTTTTGCTTGTTGGCTGGATGGGGATCTTATCTAGTTAAATAAATGAACGTGTGGATAATAAATAAAATATTTATTAAAGATATAAAGAGATCTCCTACTCTTCCTTTAAAATTTCAGTTATATGTTTTGACTTTAAAATATTAATAAGAGCAATAAGAGTTATAAAAGTAAACGTCTGATTTGAAGTAATGTTCTTACTGCTCTATTCCTTTTGTTTTTTTAATTCATGATTTCATTTTTCCAGCCATTGAACTTATAAAAGATTTAATGGACTATGAAGTGGCAGACTCCCTTCTGTCAGGCCTAGTGAGCCTTCTCAAGCCAGCTTTGGAGGATATTTTAGCAAGGCATGAGGCAGATGATGGTAACATTAAATAATGCTTTTAAACATTTTGCTTAGTATTTGGAATCATGAAGCCAATATTTTGAATAGAACCAAACATCTTGATTGAAATCATCTATCAAAAGCGATTCTTTATAGCAAATAAAACTGCACAGATAAATCAAAAATAAACTTAGCTCTTAGGAAATCCTGTCAAGTTAACTGAAAAAGAAAGGGTGCTGGGTGGCCGAGCGGTCTAAACTGTCTAAAACCTAATAGCTGATGGTCTGGAGTTCAATCCCCACCATAGCCAACATCTCAAGCACTCCGGGTGGATGTGACTCATTAGCCCTGGACGGCAACCCATCTAAGAGAAGGCAAACTCTGAATTTAAACCAGGAGCCAGAATGATCAACAAATTGATCGTGAAGAAATGATTTTTCAATTAATCTGTGGTTCATATTTTCCTATATCGAATTTGATTACAGTCTCCAAAATTTATGACATAAAGTTTTCATTTTCAACCATTTATATTGGATATCACATTAGTTTTTTTCTAAGACACCAGTTACTTTCCCCAGATAGTATTTATTAATTGATCATCATTAGTAATTATGTGAGTTATGAATTATATACTGGTAATTAAAAATACAATCAGCAGAATTAAGGAAATGAACAAAATTAAAAATAAGGTGTGCGGAGCTGTAGGATAACAAGTTGTTGATAAAACTTATTTATGATGAAAGGCTACAAAACATTACATTAAAAATGATCACAACTGTGTATGGCAATTATTAAAAAATTATATTATATTTTTCATCAGAAGATTCAATCCAGCCTAAAATTAGTGCCCCACTTCCTGTGTTTGTGCAACAAGCAGCTGCAGCCAAGACTATCGGGTATATAACTTTGTTTTTTTAACTTTGTTCTGGGATTATACTGTAATCTCTACTATCCAAAAATAATTACCTAAGGAATTTTTTAAAGAATTTGTAGGGCATTAATTGAAAAAATTGTAACAAAACTAAAAAATCTCTCAGACAGAAAAACTAATTAAATTAAATGTGTGAAAATATTTTGTTCAAACTCAATCAAATAAATGTGATACTTTCACAGTATTCTTGCACGTGATAGTAATCAAGTTGCTGAAAAGCTTATTCAGGTTAGTTACCTCTTGGAAAGTATTTGAAATAGATCTATATTTCATTTACTAAATAGGAAAAATCCTTAAAGTAATAATTGGATGTTGTGTGTCGTAAGTGGTGAGATGTTGGTAACTAAGAAGGTGCACAAAAATTAGATCTAATGTCTTTCTTGTGCATTTCATGTAAGAAAGATTTTGCTCATTGCATGATAAAATTGTGTTAAGTTTTAATTTACTTTATGTCTGAACCTTGTGAAATGCATCATTATTGAATAATCATTCCTAATAGCCACAGTTATGGCGAATGAAAAGTAAAATTCACCACACTATATATAAATCATAAAACACTAATATTAAATAAATTAAATAAAAAAATAAGCTGTTAAATTATATTTTAACTGCTGAAGGCGGCGCCTCTGCTAGTAATCCTGAATATTGAATAAGAATTTTATAAGGTTTACATAGATAATAATAACAGCTGTTTATACATGAAAAATAGTAATTTAATTCGATGGTATGATACTTCTGCTCTATAGTATCCTGTATTTAATTGACATCTTACCTTCACTGATGTATACCATAACATCTTCATTTCAGCTGCGGGTGACACATAGACTTATGTATGCCATGGGCAATACAGATTATGCAGACAGTCAAAGACAAGCTAGTATCAGCTTAGAGGTACTTGCCTCTGTTCATTATAATTTAAGCTGAAATTTCTAGTTAGAAATTTAAAAAATGTTTAAATACTACCATTTTTTAAAGTGGCTAATTAATTAACTGGTAAATTTGTTATATTTCTGGGCAGCATTTCTGTCGAACATTCTCCATTGTTGATGATCATGTCAGAGACGCCATGGGAGAAACCCTTTATGATCTTTTTATGGTATGTCACTTGAACAAACTTCTTTTAAATTATGAGAATTATTATTTTTACAAACTGCTGGGTTGCACCAATCAAAAACTAGACTGAGATATTTTTTCAGAGTTAAAATGAAAAAATATATGATTTCATTGCTTATTTTTTTATTTGTGGTAAATAATAGTTTATTTTATTGTTAACTTCACAGTCCAATCCTGAAACCTTGTACCTTAATTTGACTCATGTACAAGCTGATGTACTGGTGTCGAATAAAGTCAACATTCCTAAATGTAAGTAATCTTTAGTAATGTCAATCTTTTTTTTTTTTTTTGTTAGAGCAAGTTCTTGGTCAGAAATATTAACATTATCACATTATTAAATAATTTGGCTTGAGAAATATCATGAAGTACGAACTGTTAACAAATTTAATTATACTGATCCTCATTTACATTTAAATACAGGTAAGAGAAATAAAGAAATCTATAAGTGCATAGAAAGCAATCATACTATTTGATAAAATCATTTACCTTGCATTCATTTTTCCAGTGAAACAAATTACAGACTGAGTTTGATTTCAATGACATCACTGCACTTTGTCAACCTGAATATTGCTTCTTACACAGAAACTAGGCGAAAACAAATAGGATTTGTACAAAATAACTAACTGACATAAAATTTATCTTCTTGAACTATGAGAGCGAAAAACAGTATGAAAACTAACTTGTTTGCTTAATAAGGCTAATTTCATTCAAGCATTTAATTAGATAGAACCTATTAAACTATAAAAGTACTTAAGTTCTATTGATAAGTATTTGTTTAGTTGTTTCGAAGTGTCTTTTACAATTTGTTTGGAAAAACTGACTAATAATGACAAATCGTAAATTTTTTCTCTGCCACCTAGAATATCTACAGTTTCTAAGCTAAATATAGAAACCAGTGTTAAGGGAGCTATTTATTACAAATTGTATCATCTATTTGTTAAATTATTATTGTATAATTGTATCTTTGAATTATCTTCTTTTGTCGATGTACTTGATCAGTAAAATAATTTATTTTGAAATTTGGATATTGCTGTAAAAGTAAAAAATTCTGGCTGCCAAATTTCTTTCCTTCAAATTTCTATCTATGGCATTCATTAAATAATTTTTCATACTCACCATTATTATAGAATTAGAATGTTTTGGAACTAAAATGCCAAAAGAAACCACCTGAACATTTGAACACCTACTGGTTCAGGAAAGCCATTTTTTAATCAGTTACAAAGAGTGTAGTATGTACAGTTCACGTTTTTATTTCAGGGTCCAGTCCAAAAAAATAATACAAAATTAACAATTATTCATACAAAGTATAACAGAATTAAAAAGAATGAAGACAAGTTAGCAACTGTTAAAGTTTATTTTGTATTTATACCCTTGTGAGCAACAATAACATGGAAGTGTTGTAAACATTTTGAAGACACTTTAATTTCATTGTCATCAAACAAACAAATTTAAACATGCAATAATTAAAGCATCTGTGCACCGCGACAAGTAAAAAAAAAAAAAGAACATTTTTTAAAAAAATTTGATAAATCTAGTAGGAGAAGTAGTTACTAGATTTATCACATTTGAGCAGAAGATATTTACTTCTGTGTCACAACCAACTCTTGGGATGTGCTATTTTTTTGTAACAGCCAAATAATTTCTATTTTACACGTATTATTTGATTTGTCTTTATTGACTCTCTTTTTAAACATTTGTTTGCTGAGCTAACCAATATAAATTATATCTCAAGGCTAAATCTAAAATTATTTGAGGAATTACTGCATATAGTTTTTATACATACTAAATGTTTGAGGAATCTCCTAACAGACTTTTTTACAGGACTAAATATTTGGTGCATGTGCTAAATAAAACAATGTAAAGTTATATTTAAGGCGCATCAAACAATTACAGCTCTGATTATTGTATGTCATTCTGAAAAAGAAAACTACAGAAACTGACTAAAAACCTAACTTAAATTCATTGTGCATCAAACATTGACAAGTATGTCCATTCTACAATTCCATCCCAGAAGTTGGATCTTATAATAAATTTAACAAGAAATAAAAATAAGTTTCATTTTTATAAAAATGCATCAAAATTAAATTGTAAAATGTTGATAATCTTTAGAATAAAAAGAAAATACCCAATCCATCCCATTGGAACTAAATCTACAAACCTCAAGCCAAGGCAAAGTAAATAAGTAAAATAATAAAAAATAAGTCGAAATTTGTCTTTTAAAATAATATTTTTGTTGGAATGTTAAAATGCTGAAGATTTTTTTTAATGGAGACATTAATAGTTAAATAACATTTAAATAACTGAAAGAGGGGGATGGGAGGGGGGAAGATAAATCTGCTGCTATCCTGTAAATTAGTGTAAATAAATAAAGTTATTTGGTTTGACAAGCACATGAAACAGTTCTGTGTACATTAAATTAAAAGGCAAACATTTTAATGAAAACATTGACATCTAAAATTCTGAAAAATTACTCAGCACAAGTGCCAGAAGTGTAACAAACATTGTAATTTGGGTATCAGATCATGATTTCATTAACAATAATTTGTTGCATACGTGATGTAAATTAAGGCAAAAATGTCGGCCAGATACATTTGTTCAATGGCCTGATCCTGTCTACAGTTAACAGGAGGTTGCCTAACCCTGCATTAATTAGCTGTGTCTTAAACAATTGTAACTGTTGTGTATCCAAACATAAATAACATGTAATGCAACAAACAAACATAAAATGCAATGCTCATCAACTGAACAGTTGGGGGTTGATTGGTTCCAGCCAAAATGTAAAAGAAATGAATTATCATACAAGGAATTTTAACTTCATACAAAAAACCTGAGTCATGCTTAACAGAAAAGAACAATAATGCAGTGGAAATAACCAATAAGGTTGAACTGCCCAAAAGGTTTATTGAACCACACTGCCTCTGATGGGTAGTTTGGCTCTCCCTTTTTGAAAAAAATGGATGTTTTAATATGGTGGACAGTGTCATGCTTTAATCAGTCTACTCACTGGGTATGAATTTATCACTGGTGCTTCTAGACCAGGGGCTCTCAAACTTTTATACATTCTGCACACCTACAAATTTTGTGACAAGTCTTGCACCACTACAATAGTAATGATGGATTTTAAAATTGAAAAAAAGAATTTATAATCACTATTCCTCTAACCCCCTAAAATATCACCTTGCACAAGCCCATTCTAGCCTTTTGGTTCAAAATTTATCAAACACAGTTACAGAAAAACTTTTCATGTAAAGATATGGCTAAAATCTACTCATGACTTAAAGCAGTAGCTGCAGTTTGTGGGCGAGGAGAAGGACCCAAGGCCTTGCCTTTGTGAATGCCTTATCCCTTTTGTTTCTAATTTATCTCAAAATTTACTCTTAAAACACTGTATTCATTAGAAACGTATTCCTTTTTAAAAATTCAGGTCGAGTCATCACTCAATGTGAAACATAATTTCAGTGAGACACACCTAAATCTCATTTTAGGTTCCATTTATAACCAGTAAAAAAAAATTATTGATATGTCTTCATCCTGATAAGAAGAAACTTGATGACCATAGTAAATAAAATCATCAAATATCGCTTCTTCTTTTTTTTTTAAAATATGCTTTTCATGAAAAGTTAGAACACATTCTGTCCATTATTTTAAAAAGAATCTGTAAAAATTATAATTGTTCAACAATTAACAATTTTTTTTAATGAATAGAAAAATACAAAATCTCAGCAAAATTTAATCCTGAGGACAATAAAAACATTTTGATAAATTGCAAGAATATTTTGCAAGAATATTGTTCAAACATGTGTCAGTAAAACTTATGAGAGCTATACAACAATTTTATGTACAAGGCCCAAAATCTGTCAAAACTAATCTCCATGCAATAAGGCAATGAAGAGATAAAACAGGATTGAGCAGATTGGGTGGACCACAAACAATGTGAAAATCTAGCAATAATTTTCATATTATAGATTTATCAAGAAAGATTACAGAAGAGAATATGTCTGAACAAATTTGCAAGGGAGGCACTGTTTTCTTGACAATTTAGAAAAATCTAAACTTACTAATTCACTCATCTAGAGTGGTTGTGCTTCACATTCAAGGCCTACATTGTTTTAATATCGTGCTCGGAATTTTATTATATTTGGTGTGTAAAACACAGGAATTATTAGAAAAATATTTTGAATTTTCAATATCTTAAATGAACGTTTGAATAAAATTAAATATTAATTGCTTTTTGAAATTTTGGCTCTTTTAAAAAAATACATTGCACTCAATAAAATTTTAAGTTTTATTCAGAAATATAGAGTTCTAACAAAAAATATATTTGTTTGGAGTTAAAGAGGATAGCAAGAGACCAGAAGCCATGGAAAGAAATTGTTATTGGCCTATGCCCCACTGGGCAAAGAAGAAGTAGTTCAACAATGCTTAGGATTGATGCCAAGCACATCATTTTTCTTAATACACAAGGAAAGAAAATAGTTAATTGTTTTAGAGTTTTCCATTAAAAATGTTAATTGTGGGAGCTGTGAATGTAAACCGAAAAACCTCACATTAGAAAACTTTTTTAAAACTTTCATTCACTTAAATTCATTATGAGCAGTTTCAAGCAATCTCAGTCAAATATTTTGCTAAAATTAAAACAGAGTATAATAGTGTTGCTTTGAATCAGAGTCATGAAACATTTTTTTTTATATATAAGGCAGCAAAAAAGCATTAACATGTTACAACAGTGTGGTCAAAAATTTTTAATAATTATAATTAAAATTAAATTAACGTTCATCAATAATTGTACAAATCTGTAATTCAACATGTAATTTTACCATTTGACAATTGTATTTAACACATTTAAATAAAAATCTAATCAAAGTCATTTCAAAATGAAGCTGATTTGAAGTGTGAAGCAAAAAGTTTGTTCTCTTCAATAAATCAAGTTTTTATTTGCAATTCAAAATTAATCAAATAAATGGACATATTCATCCCACTAAAAACTAAACTTCCATTAACAGAATTAAAACCAAACAAAAAGACCCATGTGGCAACTTTTACATCGGTTTGAATCTGGGAATTAAATCACAAAAGGCAACACTCCACACAGCTTTGAAACATCTTTTTACGTAGAACATGTTAATACAGGGAAGAGTGTCCAGAGTGAGGAGTCATTGTTAGAAAATTTGTAACAACTCGGTCACAGATTTATTTATTTATTAATTACCAATTTAGACATTGTGCCTACAGCTAACAGGATTAGATGATTTGAGATTTTTATGATAAAACTTATAAACCTTCACTTGATTCGACAGAAAGAGCCTCCTCAACAAAGTAGCATTAGACTCTTTTACCATAAAAGCAACAACTTATTTTCCATTAGCTACTTCTGTTCTGTTCATCCTAATGCATCCATAGAGAGGAACAAATGACACATGCAACCTGGACAAAGAGGTTTATTAAAAAAAAAAAAAAAGATGTAATTTCAATTTATAAAACAAAATGTGTTAATTACTCTCTATTAAATTATGTCAATGATAAAATACTTCACACATGGATATTTTAGAAAGTTGGCTTACCTGACTTCCATTTCTGGGTTCTCCACATAAACAACCTCCCCATCAATATCCAAAAGGTTCTCAAGCTCTCTTGCCTTAGCCCTTGCCCCAGACACGCTGTCATCCGTCTCAGTGTCATCTCTCAAAAGTTTGATCCGGAAAGCAGTGACATTTGAGATGAAGTCAAGATTTTGAGGTGTTGTGGACTGGACAAATAAGCAAAATTTAATTTTATAAACCAAATTCAAACATTTTTATTTTAACAAAATATGACAATTTAGCTTCAACTGGAAAACAGTTCTTTAAGTTAATTTTTTTTTTAGTTATTGGTTCACATATATCACTATATCTAATACGCCTCCCCCTAATAAGTGTTTATGAGACTAATTTTAATAATATCTAAATGATAACATTTTTTAAATATGGAGAATTTTATGGGTTAAAGTTATAAAAAAATAACCTTACAAGTCCTGCCTATTTCAAGCCTACTCCACAATTCACAAAGTAAGTAATTTGTAACTGCAGTGGAATGAAACCAACTTACTGGTGCTTTTTTTCCAGTTGAAAATTTAATGAGACTTTTCAACAGCGCTATTTGTCCACACCCAGTATCTATGCCGAGTTGCACATGAGAGCCGAAAGGGTTTATAACACACCGATCCTCCAGGTCAACAGCATCACAAGCAAAACTGAAGATGCCACAGTACCTGTTGTTGCTCTTGGTATAAGTTATCCAATCTGATAAAGAATATAAGAAGTGTTTCAACAAACATGCTCTTCGTAGCCACTAAAAAGCCAGGGAGGGCATTTATGAGCTACTCATATTTTAACAAGAAAGAGACCTACCTGCAGTCAAATCATTCCAGAATGAAGCTCTAACCAACTTGCCCAAGTAGCCATTACAAAAGTTATTTAAAATTAGATTTACACAATGAAAGTTATTCCCCTTATTTTTAAAATGTATCTGGCTTAATATAGCTGTCATGTTTACAGTCTCATTGCGCTTTAAAAATGTTTAACTACAAATTTAAGCTCCCTAGTAAAAGAGGACAAAAAGAAAAAATTTGGTTCAAATATGTCAGGGTGGGGTTTCGTGGAGGAGTTATGGAATTTTCTTTTAATGCATTAAAAAAAACTGATGATAGCTTTATGTAGTCAATACCCTCTAGCGCAGAATCAAAATACATGAATGTACAATCTAAGTGAGTGCTTATATTTAAAAAAACTATTACAATCTTGTTCAATTCGCTTATTATATCATCATTTACCTGAATTATGATTTTGCTCCTGTTTATCGGGATCCAGTTTATTTTCAGTACTGGAAAAAAATAATTTTAAGTTACACACAAAGTACAAAAATAACTTCTAGTGCTGTTTTCTCAAAGTTGTTGGCGATTAAACTACAGCCCGGGCTATAAAACTAAAGATGTTTGTACCTATTGTTGCATGGGTCTGTACTTGTAAGATCTTTCCTTAAACGGTAGGTTAATTCACATTTAAAAACTCTCTTCTTTTTGAACAAGGTCACTGCTGCAGCATCTAGAACACAAGCAGAACAATCTTTTTAAGACATCTTTTCAATGATTTTGGACACTAAAATCAATGAAGAAAAAGAAGGAAAATGAAAACCAAAAAATTATAATGTTTCACTGTTTTCATTATTTTAGCACTATTAAAAAACATATGGATCTTTTACAAAATTTTTAATAATTTTTTTTCGAATGCACATTTTTTAAATTCAAAATAACTTTTAAAAACCAATAAGGTAGTGTAATAAATTTTATAAGCTCATTCTATAAAAAATGCAAACTAAATAATTTTGACCAAGATGAGCTTAAAAGGATAACAATCTTACAAGAATAAAAAGCTTACAAGGATAACAAGCTTAGAAGGATAATGAGCTTACCAGGATAACGAGTTTACAAGAATAACGACCTATGAGGATAAGAATCATACAAGAATAAAAAGCTTACAAGGATAACGAGCTTTCTTCATCCAACGCAGCTCATCAGTTCTCTTGATCATGTCAGAGAACATCCCATAGCCAAACACAAGCGCACTGATACATACAAACTTTTCTCTGCTGTGAACAGTGAAGATCTCAGCCCTGCGGTTTTCCCCTGCAAATAATTGAAAACATAATTTTGTTAAATTTCTTTTTCAAACACGAATATTAAATTGAATTTACTAAAGTTTTCACTTGTGATGTGCTGAATGCTTTAAGTGCTCCAAGCTAGGTGAGCATATCTCATTTTAGCTGATAATATAAGTTATGTGAAAATGTGATAAATTACCACAAGTGTAATATGGGGAGGTCTGCATTCAGGCAGAAGCAATATGAAATATAACACAGAGATGAGGAAAATGGACATTTCAAATAAGAAGTCTTCAAGAACATACAAAGAGGGACAAAAGAAAGATACATATAGTTGATAGAAGGGAATATTTAACAGGAAGTCATATTGAATTGATTGAGGAAGTGTCCAAAGAAATCACACAGTTTGAAATCAAACATAAAAAAAATTTAAATAAATAAATGTATAAAATAAAGTACGGGGAATTGAAAGGCTACTGTAAGGACCGTGTAGGTAAAATTAATAAGAATTATTATAGAAAGAAAACAAAAGGTAAAATGGCTTTTCATTTACCCAAATATATTTGGAACTATAGGCAAATAATGAGACAGGCAAATACAGAATTTTTATGCTACTTGGGTTACAAAAATATTTGACATCATGCATAAATATTACAAAGGAGGTTGACAGATTAATTTTAACTTTATAGTGATTTAATGACTAGTCAGTTTAAATGAGCAATAAATGGCTTTGATAAAATATACAGTTACCCCTGATAATATTTAGCACTGCTGTCTCAATATCAATTGTTCCATTTACCCATCCACTCACACCATTTCCTGTACCTGATGAATAAAGAAAAAAATTTCTTTAAATACTTTAATGCATTTGACTTTGACATATAATAAAGTGCAAAATAATGATTACAGAAGAAAATAAATTGGATTTTTAAATTTAAAACTTTAAAATGCTGTAGAAAAAGAAGAAAAATATGAGAATGACACATGATGTATAAGAAAACAAAATTCATTCATTCTACTTAAAAATTTAAGAGGCAAACATACCAGCAGGTATAATCCCTATAGGTATGTTTGGCTTAGCAAATTCAGCTTCAGAAGAGTGATAATTGACCCCTGATCTTTTTTGTATTTGTATCGTGTAGCCCTGCAGGAGTTCTTGATATAAACCATCCCCTCCAACAATGACAATTCTGAAAAAAAAATTTGATTAGTTTTTAGCAAGAAAGCTGAAGGTGTTGAAATATTCAATGCATTGAAAGTTTGAAACTTTAATTGTTTAAATAATCATAAGGTAATATTGAATGAAAATAAAGAAATAGGAGTACTGGACTTGTTTATGAAAATGCAATGTAATGTAAGTCTATAACCTAAATGTTTAACTGAATAATAAATGTACAGCAGTGAAGGACCAGGATACAATAAGTTTTCAAAATTGAGGAATATGTCAGCAATTCACCCTGCTTAAACTTAACTTACCCATCATAAAGAGAAAAATCATGAGTTTCTCCTATTTCCAATGCATGTTTTGACTTTTCTGTAGCTGAAATTCCCAGTAAATTTAAGCTTATCTTTGATCATGTATTAGCAATGAAAAAAAATTAACATTTTGAAGTTACAAGAGGTTAGAATTTGATAAACTTAAATTCTATGCTTGAATTTGCTTTAGTACTTTTTAAAAGCTAAAAAAAAAAATTAGTGGGGGAAAAAAGAAACAGCTTACTTAATACTGTAGTTTGAATTTCAGCCAAAGCTAATAATGGTGCAACACTCTTAAGATATATCTGGCGCCCCTTGCCTGCTCCACCAATTGGGTTGATGAGGACAAAGAGTTTATGGGGACGCCCTCTAACTGAAAGCAATTTTCATATTTTAATGAGCATCAATATATTATTGAAGACCTGCAATAAAACTAGAAAACTATGTTTAAAAAGAACCATATGCTTTTGAACCAAATGAACAAAAAAAGGATATAACTAATTTGTTGGGTTTTTTTTTATTTATCTATGAAATGATTTGATCTTTTTTTCTCAAAATACATACAAGTATAAGGATTAATAAACATCTTATTAGGTTATAGAGGAAAACCACAGTACACTTAATCTTTAAGAGCAATGCACATGCCAAAAAGATAATATAAAATAAAGAGAGTTATTTGCTTGCAGATGTAGCTTGAATGTTAGATGTCACCTTTGTGACATTGGTCATAAATAATGTTGATCCATTTCTCTCCATGTCCACCAAAATCTTCAATTTTCACTGTCTCCAGTCGCAGCACACTGTTAGAGCGTCTATTAATGTGGTGAAGTAAAAATGTAGTTTGTTCTTGTTGCTCTGAGTCTTTTGATTCCTTTTCAACTTGGATGATATCTCGCCAAACCAGAAAAAGAACTGCAATATAAATTATCAATTGATTTTCTTATTTACACAATCCTTCATACTGTAGTTTCCTATAATGCATCACCTATTTAATATTAAAATTATCTGCTATGAACCACTGATCACAAAATGTAAATAAACTCATAATCACCATTCACTTGAACAAGCAACAGATTTTATTGTAACAAGAGAAAATACCTTCTTGTTTGTCTTTCTTTTCGGATTTACAGGATGTAAGTTTCAATCCTTTAGATTTCAGCTGTAAATGTCTTTCTTTTCCTGACACCGTGACATTGCCATCCAGAATAGTTTCACCTTCCGAATAATCTTCTTCGAAGTGAAAGTCCACTGTTGTGTGACCTAAAGAAGCGGTTGTACTACCTGATTGTGTGTTTGAGTTTTCTTGCCTACAATCCACCAAATCAGTTGAAGATGCTAACTCATCTTCAGTAAAGACAGTTTCTAATCCAGTGCCTGACATTCTAGTGAAAACATTTTTTTAAAAAACAAATGTGAATTTCTTCAAATTTCGATTTTAAATATTTGTAAGATCTAATCTATGCCCTACTAATTTAAAAATAGCAAAAATATATATGCTAGGCTTAAGTATCATTATTTTGCAATGTCATAATAAATTCTTTGCAATTTGCTAAATGTATTTTAATAATCAAATTTTATCACAATAGATAAATAGACCTGTAGAATAGAAAAGTTATGCATGATGGTGGTTAAAAGCTATCACTCAATACTGATGTTAACTAAAAGGCCCAATTATGGCTATTTTTTAATACTGAAAAAAATGACACATGCCACCAACAAAATTTGATTTTTTCAATTACTTAAAAAAACCAATTGTTTGAACTGATTTAAAAAAAAAAAAATCAAAAGAAAGGTCTAGGACAATATAATAGGCTTATAAAAATGAACTTAACACACATAAAAGGCTGCATTTACCACAGCAGAAAACTTAGCAAATCCATAGATTGAAAATAATGCATAAAAGCCATAGATCTGGATTACAGCTGCATTTACTGCTGTGACATGGCACAAAAATAATTTTTAAATTAATAAATTTAATAACTAAAAATAAAAGATTTGCAAGTTCATTCTTGTGATCACTCATTAAAATTGATAGAAAGAGCATACTTTTTTAATTTTGTTGACTTTTTTTTAATGAAATACTATAAGTAAGGACCTATATTTAAAAGATTGCTACAGTTACAACTCAACTGTGTTAACTTTAAATTTTAAAATTTTCATTACATAAAAGGTATTATAGAGGAACCTTAACCTGGAGTTTATAAGTTTAACAATTGCTATGACACATCCATTTGGATAATGGAAAAATTAATAAATAATCTCTACTTCATTATGATTAGCTGCTGAGCTGTCGATTCAGCGTTCCCAACTGTCTGTAAATTTACGTAAGAAGTTAAGGTTGTCTTTAAAAAAATAAAACATTGACACAATTTTTTTGGAGCAAAACTCCTTAGTTGCTTGAACCTTGCATGATTATAATCAGGAACAATTCCACAATATTGAGGATGCTATACAATAAATAAATAACTTTATAATATAATAGTTAATAATAGGCTCAAATGGTCAATTTATATAGAGTGATACACAGACATAACATGGAACTTTTGCCTTTTTTTTAGCTTCATAAGTTTATTTTAAAAATGTGTCCATACAAAAAAAAAATCTAGTCTGTAAAAAATGTGTGGATATGTTTGAATTTTCATCTTTCTTTTTCTTTTTTTATAAGAGTTGACAACCATGTGTATTCTAAAATGAGGCAGCTGCTTTGCCTTTTTACTAGTTTAATTTCATGGCTTCTCTAAGCTGCTGACTTCACTTACATTTGAAATAAGCTCCCCGCTTTACCTTTAGTTAATCCCAGTATGATCAGTAAGTCTAAAATCTGTGAATGTGATGGTAATGTCAGTAACGAAGGACTGTCTTTGATAATGATTAAATTTAAATTATTCTTTTTTATATTATAATTATAGTATAGGCCTAACAAACTCACTTATACCTATTTCTTGGACTCCTTTTTGTGCCTTTGTACTTTGTTGTAGTTGGTTTGATTTGATGTAGTATTAATTCAATTGACTTTTAAGCACTGAAGCACTGTGACTGTACAAATGTAGGACTACCACATCAACTCCAGATTAGCATTCAGGGTACGCATTCAGTATCAGCTAGTCTCAGCTCCACAGTTGGGTGACTGCCTGTGACTCTTATGCTTATTCAAGCAAGTCACATTCACATACCAGCGACGAGTGTGATACTGACGAAGTCGACAGGAGTCAGGACAACTCCTCAATTTTGAGCCTAACTTGTGGCATCAACAATGACAAATTATGACCAAGGCCGGCAACGCTAAGGGGGGGGGGAAGGTAACGTTTATAAACATTATTACATAAATTAGAGTTAGAGTGAACGAAGTAAGTTTTATTTTTCACGGTTAAAGTTATCACCTGCAATCAATCTGGTCGGAATTGGCATATCTCCATCTTGCTGTAAATAATTGTAAATGTAAACCCAACAAATATCGTGACTGAACTCTTCAACAGTTTTGATTACAGAAATACTCTTATGTTTATTCAAGCCCAAGAAGTCACATTCACATACCAGCGACGAGTGTGATACTGACGAAGTCGACAGGAGTCAGGACAACTCCTCAATTTTGAGCCTAACTTGTGGCATCAACAATGACAAATTATGTCCAAGGCCGGCAACGCTAAGGGGGGGGGAAAGGTAACGTTTATAAACATTATTACATAAATTAGAGTTAGAGTGAACAAAGTAAGTTTTATTTTTCACGGTTAAAGTTATCACCTGCAATCAATCTGGTCGGAATTGGCATATCTCCATCTTGCTGTAAATAATTGTAAATGTAAACCCAACAAATATCGTGACTGAACTCTTCAACAGTTTTGATTACAGAAATACGCACCTTTTTTTTCTTAACTTCTTAAATGAAATATGGGCGTGACTGGAGTGGGGTGGGATAGGGAAAAAAAATGCTATTGGCACGGTCTTCACACTTCACGGTTTTAAAAGTAGTTTTGAGTGTGCGTTTTTAAGGTTTTTGTAAATGCGTAAGTCTAATTTATCGACTACAATTCATGCCAATATAGAAACACAATATTTTTAAGACACTAAATTAAATGAAAAAGGGTCCTCAGCTCAAAGTACTCCACATGCCGGCACACCCCCTTTACCCGGCCCCAAACTAAGAGATCTTTACTTTGTTTTTGGGCACACAAGGGTACAGCCAGAGGCGTGTGAAAAAGAAGAGTTGATGGGCCAGTCGCCCCGGGCACCAACAAGACACCAAAATCGTGTATATATATAGTTTGGTTTAAGCCATTTTGCTTCTAAAACTGAAACTCCTTTTACATATTCAGAAATAGGAAGACATTCGATCATGTGTACAAATCTCCCAGCAATTAATGTGAAATTTGCTCATAAGCATGGCCGTGCGGAAAAAAGGGAAGGGAGGGGCACATTTCAGTTATCTAGGGGTTTGTTTTTTTTTCAATGCCAGTAAATTACCGGTAATTAATTTTTGAAAACAGGATAAGGAACCAAATGTCATAATGCGTCTTTTGTTAAAATCACTTTCCATAAGCCACGAGAATGTTTGAGTGAAACTGAAACACTGAATGAATGGAGCTATGGCGCCTATGCACTCAAAATCTGTTTAAATTTAGTGAAGGACTTTAACTGCCAGCATTGCACACTGCCCACAGAAACAGTGGCTCACCTGTTAACTGTGTGACACAAGCTTAACCTTAGTGAGGCAAGGCCACAGGTGAGTCCTCCGTGATATATATATATATATATATATATATATATATATATATAATATATATAAAATTATATTTCATGTTACAGATATAAATATATATATATATAATATATATGCCTATATAAAAATATATTTCATATTACATATAAACAGAGTTTGTTGCCAATTTTTTTCCCAGGCAATAATTGTGTGACACAAGCATAAACTGAGAGAGGCAAGGCCACAGGTGAGTCCTCCGTGATATATATATATATATATATATATATATATATATATATATATAATATATATAAAATTATATTTCATGTTACAGATATAAATATATATATATATAATATATAGGCCTATATAAAATTATATTTCATATTACAGATAAACGGAGTTTGTTGCCAAGTTTTTTCCCAGGCAATAAAGAGTGATAAAGCTTGCCCACTTCCCTGGAGTAACGATCAGTAATAGTTAATGCCATGAGTTTAAACATAATAAATAAAACTATCATCATGGCTATTTATGCAGGCCTGGATAAACAGGTTGGTATTGCAGAGAAATGCTTGATTAAAAGAAAATAAGGAATACATCCTGCTACATGGAACCTTTCTCTTTCATGGTATCTTGTGTAAATATTTACTTCTCCTGTCACCTTCTCATTCCTCAGCAAAATTCATTTTGCATAAGTCTCTTGCAGTTGTTTTCATATTCCGAAAACTGCATGCAAATACTTTGAATAAAATAATACACTGATGCAGACCTTGAAAAAATAAGACATTGATACAGACTTTGAATTAAATGAGACACAGATACTGTTATTTAGAAGACATGTTTACGTCACTTTCCCTGTGCCATGAGCTCTGTCTGACCCCAAATTAGGCTGCATTCGTATTGAGCGTGGCTTATTCCCTTTGATCTTGGCCTTTGTTTACTATCACTACCAACTAAAAATAATTAATATGATCTGAAAGAATTTTTTGGAAAGTTTGGGAATGAACTAGACAGTTAAACAATGTGTAAGGCAGTTCGAGATCTTTCAGTAGGGTAGAATATAAAAGCGGGATTCATTTTTGGACGAGATAGGTTTTTACTTCACGAGACAAGGGTGTATTTTTCTGTGCGTACTCATATGTGTATTCATCATTGTACCTTATTTTTGGCACATTGTACAAACTGTGTACCAGTACAAGACATACCATACTCTGTAAGTTGATGATTTTTAATTATATTTCTTTTATTTTGTAATTATATTGATACTTAAATAAATCTTATTAATTGTAATTAGCAACTGTTTTGAGTGTCGTATTATTGCTATTGTATTTTCTCATATGGTATCGTCCTTTGCTATGCACTGTTTAGAACGAGCCATAAAATTAAAATAAGAGATTAATTTCTCACTATAGAAGGCAGTGCGTAACAGATACATTCAGTTTTTGCCAATTTTCCTTTTTTTTCAAATAAATTAAACATTAAAATCTTTAGCTACGGTATGTGAACAAATATTATATATATTATGTTTAATATATAATAAATTAGGAAACACATTGTGAATTTTTGTCTTTATTTTCAAAGAAATAACTTTTTAGATAAAATAAAAAATTCAAAAACTTTTAACTGTAAAATAGTTATGGTTTAGAAGGCATAATAATTATTGTTTTTAAAAGATATAATTCAATAAAAATATTAGATAAAATATTTGTTTTGTAAAAGAAAGACATGAACACAATAGATACACAACAATATTTTTTGTATAATAATTAGTGACACGTAACACAAAATTAATATTCAATGACATAGTGACCAAAAAATGGATGGAACCCCTCCCCCCTCTCCCCTGCCTTTTTTTCCCCTCTCTTTTGCAAAAAAAAAAGCAAAAACATATTGTGTATTTTGTTTAAAATATTAATATACTGGTATATAGAACAATTATAATATCACATATGTGGATGGTGATAAGACAAAGTGTACATTTGCTATGTTTACAATAAATAGACATGTTGAAAGCAATGTTAGTTTTCTTTTAATGTACATAAAAAACAAAAGTGTAGAAATAGTGATTGTCAGGTAAATACATTCAAATGATCATGATATAATATAATTTTTATTTTTTTTTTAAATTTACACAGTTCTAATGGTTAGGAGTCATGAATATGCATCACTGGATAGTTCTCATGCTTTTAAAAAAATAAGAAATTTAATAAAACAATACTTCTTTCCTAAATGTGATGATTTTATATCTATAGTTTAAGTAGTTACACTTCTAATTTACAAACCATTAGTGTTACAAATTAAATACAATCTAAATCTTCTCAAAGTATCAATGTTAAATTCATCTTGTTGTATAGATTTAGGGAAATTTTCATCATTATGACAGCCTCATCTTCAGGCAAGCTGGAACTTATGGGTTACTTGTTTTTTACACCATAAAGTAGAGTAAAAGATGGTTGCACTCTGTTTGAAAAAAGGTTATAAATAGATATATAAATGTATAAATTTACAATATGTCAACTTGATAATCCCATAAATTTGATGTACATAAACACCAAGATAAGCATTGCAATAATCAACTCAGTGGAATCATTACAGATGGGTGAGATCGATTGGGATAAGGATGTCTTCAAAGCTTTTTTTTAAAAATATGTTATGCTTCTCTTCCTAGACATTCATTTTACATTTAAGACAAGGGATGGGTTCCTTTTTTTGAGTGATGAGCCTTGGAAAAACTTTTTAACTGCTAAGCAAATGTTTTGGAACCCGATTTATTAAAATATTATTTTGGATAAGAAAGAAAGAGATGCATAAACTTTATCACAGGCTCCGGAGCCCTGGGTTGCCAACCACACTGCCTGGACATGAGGGACTACTTAAATAAATGAACTTCAATGAACTAAATTGTCAATTTAATTTGTGTTAAATGAAATCTAAAGTGTCTCATTAATGTAAGTCTTGGGTGCTGGGTGGTCGAGTTAACCCCAAGTTAGTGGACTGGAGTTAAATCCCCAGCAAAAGCAAAACCATCACCAGCAACCCGGTGGATGGGATTTGTTAACCTTAGATAGCAGCTGATCTAGGAGAAGGCAAACTCTGATAAAAACTAAGAGATGGGAGCCTGTAGGCGGTATGATATTGATGAGATGAACATTCCGACACCTCCTGCGATGTAGCTCATATCAAGGGCACAGTGAAACTCACAAGATACTTTTGGTCAACTACATCATCCATATCTATTTCCAGTTGTCTTGTCATTGGATTATATATGCAAGAACAAGAGAGTGAGGCTGATGAATTCAGCAACTCTCCCTCACTTTAAACAAATTCGCTCAAGTCAAGGCTACTACTCAATTTGAAAATAGTTTTGGTCATCTTCATGTACAAAGGACCAACCATTTTTTTTTTAAATTCAATAACATCTGTCTTACCTGACAGTCATATCCAATGACTCGAGGTGAATAATCTCGCCATCTATGTCAATCAGATGCTCTAACTCTATTTCTCTAGCTCTTGCTCCAGAAGTTCTTTCACTGCCATCTTGTTCATCCCTCAGAACCTTGATCTTAAAGTCTGTGACCCTGTCTATCAAATCTAGATTTGGCAATGTGGACTGCAAATAAATTGTACAGAAAATAATCAATGTATATATATATATATAACAGTCACACAGAACAAGGCAAACAACTTCAGTATGAGGACTAAAAATGGTGACTCAATTCATCAAGGTAGGAGTGTACTAATTAGTCAGTTATGCCAGGAACACATTTCTAACTCACATTTATTTTCTTTCCAAAAGTAGTATCCATCATAGTTTTAAAAAGTGAAAAATGGCCACATCCAGATCCAGCTCCAAGCGTTACATGGCTACCAAATGGATCAACTATGTTGTGGTCACCAGCATCCACCAGCTCCCATGGCATACTATAAATGCAGTTGTATTTCTTGGTTTCATTTTTATGGATTATCCAATCTGATGAATGCAGCATGACATCTATCTTGAGTTTTTTTTTAATTTATACCATTCCATTTTGATGTATTTACATTACATATTTTTGAAACTTGTTTACTAATTTATTCCTATGCCATCAATTAAAGTTTAAAGTGTACCTGATTT